AACAACACTCGTTTCCGAAATTTTCATAAAGTATATCTGGAAGGATTCACCATCTAACGAGTTCGGATGGTCACTAGGATAGAAATGACGTTTTGACGTTGGTGACGTACGTCAAAACGACAAAAGCGTGAAAAACGTGACGTCACAAGATGGCATGGGACACAAAGAGTGACAGGTGACAGAAGACAAGAGACAGATGACAAGTGACAGAGGACATGGAACACAAGGAATGACAGATGACATGTTGAAGTACTCTGAACTTAGCCCCCTAGACTCTGGACTCCGGTCTCTAGACTCTAGAGCTTATTGGGTGTTCTAGGACATTCTTCTCCTTCTCTTTGAAAGGTGCTGGATGTCGTCACAATCTAGTGACTGTGCCCACCAGATTTATGTTGGTATTACTACAATTGGTAGCACTTTGTTTCAAGGTCACCCGATATACATGTTGCAGGTGCTCAATGAGTCATCCTTATCTCGACTTCGTAGAACAATGCCTCCTTTGTTTGCCATATGTTATCTAGCCTTCCTCTAGAACAATGCCGCCTTTGTTCTCTCTATGCCACTGTCAGCGTTTCTTGGAATTCCGGCTATTGGGAAATTGCGAAGCAATATACGAGAACAATGCCGCCTTTGTTTGCAGGTGTCCGATTACGTGACAACCTCATCCGATTGCATCATCCTTATCTGCGTCAGAACAATGGGTTACGTGGGGCCTTTTGTGTGTTGTTGAATCGTGGATACTCATCGTTCAGTCCGCGGTCCGTCTAGAGTAGTGTGGCAGATATTTAAGAAAATGGAAATTCCATGTGGAATATCAGTATAGTGATGTTAGTGGTGCTGTGCAGTGCTCCCAAATAGAACCTCTAACTGATAAGGTAATTTTTTTTTGTATCAATGATAGTTCGGAGATATATGTTCGCGAAAGAGAGAAGGGATATTGGTGACCGGGTTTTGGAAATTGAATCGTTTTCGATGGTATGCTCGAAGGCTGCAGTTCTGAAAGATAAGGTATACCAATATCTAAGGAACATTGAAGATCACAAGAAATATTGAAAAATTTGCGTTTTTCGTGATACAGTCTTCGGACATTCTCCATGTTGTGAAAGTCTGCAGGGGTGTTGGGGTATTTTTCGATTTAGCTTTTCGATATTTTGTGCCGTTCTCGAAATATTTGGGAAAATATTAATATCGGGACATAGACAAATTTCATCAAGATAATGCGTTTCCAATTTTTAAAAAAAGTGATGATGCAATTTTGAGTAACAATGTATAGGGACTTTTTCGTTAGTCGTCTTGTTTTCTATCGAATTTCAGGCGAAAAACATACACTTGTCCCTCATTTTTTTTTCAATGAACTTAGAATTATTTCGCGTCATGACGTCATACTGAAATTTTTTGTTTTTCGTGTTACAGTCATTGGACTTTTTCCATGTGGTAGGCCGTTGTGAAAGTCGACAGGGGTGTTGGGATATTTTTCGATTGAGATTTTCGATATTTCGTGCCGTTCTCGAGATATTTGAGAAAATATGGATATCGGGACTTTCATCAAGATAATTCGTTTCCAATTTTTATAAAAGTGATGATGCAATTCTGAGTAACAATGTATAGAGACTTTTTTGTTGGTCGTCTCATTTTCTATCGAATTTTGTGCGAAAAACATACACTTGTCACTCATTTTTTTTTTTTCAATGAACTAAGTCTAAGACGGCCAGTGTTGTAAGGGTATTTTTGGATCTGGATTCTCGATATTTTTTAGCGTTCTTGAGATATTTGCAAAAATATCAATATCGGGACAACAATATTTAGGAAAATAATGAAATTTCACATATTTTGGTAATAAGGCGATTTCGATTTCTTTCGGACATTGTACGAAAAACATACACTTGTGAATCATTTTTAATTCCAATGAACTGAATTATTCCGCGTCCTATCATAATGATGTTTTTTGTATTGAATATACATTTTTGTGGTAACTAGCGGTGTTAGGGGTGATTATTTGTCAAGACAATCAAATTTGAAATTGATGTGATTCCGAACTGCATGTGTGAAGAGTGGAAATTGTTAACGAAATCGTGAATAAATGTGGATATTATGGAAATAATGGTATTCTTCGGATTCTGAGGAAGTGTTGAGCAATAAATGAATTGGTAATTCTAGCTGGTATAGTACATCATGGTTTTTCAGGTAGTGAGATGTACATGGATCATTCTCAGGAATATATTATACGACAGTATAACGAAACGGTCGACTTTTTCCGCACGAAAACACGTCAGGTACCCTTGCGAGGGGAGTGTACCGGCTTTGGTGACAATAATCCCTCTCTGCAAAGGAGGTTGTTGCCGTAGTAAAGCCAGGTATAAATAGTGTTGTTCGTTTGTTTCTTACAACATGTTCAGGGGAAAATGTTGCCCGAAGGCTATCAAAGAACCGTATTTCCTTTGAAAAATCTACCTCAAGTGTATGTGTTGCGCCTCTGAATTCCATGGGTTCTATATACAGCTATGAATTACTGCTTCATTACGCAATTGCGCTTTTTTATTCCTCTGGGGTTGAATAAAGATATCGATACTTTGTTGGTGTGAAGTCATTCGGTGTGTAACACAGACAAATTTCGATTTTGAGAGGGCCTTCCACATCATTTCATGAAATTAACTGATAATCTCAGCTGGTATAGAACATCATGGTATTTCAGGTAGTGAGATGTGCATTAGAATATCCTAAAGCAATAACATATATACGGTTCCACCATTTATCATGATCTCATTCTATTGCTGCCGCCCCTATTGACCAGTCGTGTCTTCAGAGCTCATCCGATTTATCGAGCGCCAATAGATACGAGAATTGAGGTTAGGTTTACCTTTCTGTCTCAGCTAGGAGGTTGAATACAAGGCGAATATTTCTGCTTTCATCATTTGATCCTCTACCAGCGATATCGCTTTTCCTTACATCCTACCCACACTTGCTTCTATTTTTCATATAAAAAGAATTGGATCTGTTTCATAAATACGTTAATTTGAGGTTGAGCAGATTATTTTGTTATCACATAGAATCATGTCACTGTTTGCTGAGCTGGTTAAGCACATAGCTACTATTCTCGGCTTCCAAACTTCCTCATATGATAAGAATCGAGTTGAAGAAGGTCTTCGCGAATGTCATAAGGCTGTAAGGCGTTTGAATAATGCATTGAGGAAATCCGAAAATTTTGGGGAGAAACAACACTTGGAAGCTTGCCTGAGGAATCTGAAATCGTTCCGAAACCAGTTCAAAATACTTCAGAAAACGGGATCTGGACTTATATCAAGAAAGGAACTGCATGGGATAGAGTTCGCTGGGCAGATTCTCTGTCTGCTTTCAATAGCAGGATTCGGACTGGAGTAATCTCAAACTCAAAGCACAAGGATCCTGCAGCCTTTTTGACTGATTGCCGAGCTCTATTCAGCATACGTATTCAGAACGCTCTCAGGAAAGATGTTGCAGTCAAGGTCGATTCAGTTTTCTGCGGAGAGTTTGAAATTGTGAAGGGAGATAGTGTGCTTAGGGAGTACAAGTACTTTACTACTTCGAACTCTCCTATCTACAAGGATACCGATTTGAATGTGTGGTTCAACGATAAAATCCTAAGACCCATTTTTGTCGGGTTAGAGGAATTCCAGGAAAGAGATTCAGGCTGGGCGCTAAAGGACATTATTAATCTGGCGGTGAACATCAACAAGTTTACTCCTCAACTTGGATCATCCTACATAGGATTACCCACTCAGATAGAGCAGAAACAAGCTTGTATCAACGTCAAAAACGAAGATGAATTATGTTTTGCTTGGGCGGTAACATCTGCTTTGTATCCTGCTGATTGGAAAAATAGTGATCGAACATTCTCGTATCCTCATCCGTCTCCTGTCTTGAACCTCAAGGGCATTCAGTTTCCCATGACAGTCAAGCAGATTCCTCGCTTTGAAAAACAAAATGACGTATCAATTAATCTCTATATCCTACAGAAGAAATCCAAAAATTTGCAGACTATTCCCACATACTTGACGAAGGAAAAGAATGACAGACATATCAATCTTCTACTCATCCAGGATCAATACTTCAATGAAAAAGATGCTTGCGATAAGCTTTCATTCCCTATCAAGTACCACTATTGTTGGATAAAGGATCTATCCAGACTGTTATCTTCTCAGCTGAGCGATCATAATGGACGTAAATTCTTCTGCGACCGCTGTCTCCATTACTTCCGCACCGCCGGAAAACTCTATAAACATGTTGAGAATTGCGTGAGAATGAATGATACTGCAATCAGAATGCCGGAGGAGAGCAAGAATATTCTGAAATTCAAGAACCATAAGAACAAAGAGAAAGCTCCATTAATGGTATATGCTGATTTGGAGTCTGTTTTGATGAAAACTGATGATTCTAAGAAGCCTCAGCTCCACGTTCCAGCTGCCGTAGGATACTTTATGAAATGTTCATATGACGACTCTCTTTCTTTTCATCGCTCATATCGAGGGCAGTACTGTATGGCGTGGTTCGCTGATGAGCTCAACCAGTTGGCTGAGGATATGTCTACGGTGTTTTTATGTCCATACAACATCGACATGACCGCTGAGCAGGAAGTTGAGTTTCAAAGAGCTTAACGTTGCCACATTTGTGAACAACCTGTTGGACCTGATGATAAGAAAGTTCGCGACCATACGCATCTCATTCCGGAAAAAAATTATAGAGGTCCAGCGCATGAAAGCTGTAATATTCGGTACCAGGACAGCCATGTGGTGCCTGTTGTGTTCCACAATCTGAGTGGATATGATGCAAATTCCATCATTGAGGATATAGCATCTAGAATGCAGGGTCGAGTTAATTTGTTGCCAATCACCAAAGAAAAATATATTTCCTTCATCAAATACAATGAAGATTCACGAATAGGTTTCCGCTTCATCGATAGCATTCGATTTATGAATTATTCTCTGGATATGTTGGCATCATATTTAACCGAATTTACGAATTTGATGTCTCAATTCTCTAACATCACCGAAGATCAGCTCCAGCTTCTAACTAAGAAAGGTGTGATGCCGTATGACTATATCGATTCGTTTCAACGCTTCAATGAGACGCAGCTACCACCAATTGATGCTTTCTTCAACAAACTGAACGAAAAACCCTGTCCACGCAGACATTATCTGAAAGCCAATGTTGTGTGGAATGAGTTCAATTGTCAAGACTTGGGACAATATGTAGACATCTACATGAAGACTGACATCATGTTGTTGACCGATGTTTTCGAAAAATTCCGAACCAGCTGCCTCAGAACTTACAATCTTGACCCTGCACACTATTACACCCTACCAGGATTCACTTGGGATGCTATGCTGTATAAAACCGGCCAAGAACTGAAGCTGCTTGCGAATGTAGATATGTTTCTGTTTGTTGAACGAGGAATTCGTGGAGGTTTCAGCCAAATTTGTTCGAAAACGAAGAGCTAGGGCAAACAAGAAGTTCATGCCTTCATATGATTCATCAAAGCTTGACTCATATTTAATGTACTTTGACGTTAACAACCAGTACGGTTGGGCTATGTCTCAGGCATTGCCATATGGTGGATTTGAATGGGCCGACACTAATCTTGATGTTACAACCGTTGCTGATGATGCTTTAGAAGGATACTTTTTAGAAGTTGACCTAGAATACCCACGACACCTTCATGATTCCCACAAAGACCTACCTTTCTGCTCAGAACACATCAATCCAAAAACTATGAAACCTCCGACGAGATCTTCTCAACCCACCAAGCTGATGGCAACGCTGAATGATAAGGAGAAGTACATCATCCACTACCGAGCCCTCAAACAAGCGCTGGAGCATGGGTTGGTCCTGACCAAAATTCATCGTGTGCTCAAATTTCAGCAATCTACATGGCTCAAGTCATATATTGATCTGAATACGAATTTGAGAAAGGCTGCTAAAAATGGATTCGAGAAAAATTTATTCAAGCTGATAAATAACGCTGTCTCTGGGAAGACTATGGAAAACATCCGAAAGAGAATTAACGTTAAGCTCCTAACTAAATGGAAAGGAAGATATGGCGCTGAAGCATGGACTTCAAAGCCAGAGTTCAAGAACTGTACTATATTCAACAAGAATTTAGTTGCTGTAGAACTGAAAAAACTTGAAGTATATCTCAATAAGCCCATTCACGTTGGTCAAGTTATTCTCGATTTAGCCAAAACTACTATATATGGCTTCCATTACGATTATATGGTGAAAGAATTTGGTAATGATTGTTCTGCTCGCTACACCGACACAGACTCCCTCATCTATGAGCTCTATAAAAATCCGTATGAAGTTATGAGGCGAGATTGCCACACCCACCTCGATACGTCTGACTATCCTGAAGATAATATTCATGGGATTCCTCAGGTGAACAAGAAGGTTCTAGGAATGATGAAAGATGAGGATTGTTCTGTCATAATGATGGAATACGTAGGTCTACGATCAAAATTATACTCTACAAAGGTGCTGGTAACTGATGATGATTTTGAGAAGAAGAGGACAAAGTTACGGGCGGAAGATCATGATGAGAACGAGATTAATAATATTATTATGAATATGGGTGTTGCGAAGAAAGCGAAAGGCGTGAAATCGTCTGTTGTTAAAACAGCATCACTTTCGAGGATTACGTCGACTGTCTGGAAACACACGAGCATAAGAAGGTTTCTCAGATTTTGATAAGAGCGAAAAAGCACCAGGTTCATTCCATAATTCAAGAAAGAATGGCTCTCAGTTCAGAAGATGACAAGAGGTATATTGTACCAGGATCCTGCGAAACTCTCCCATGGGGGCACTATAGTATAATGGAGACTTGAAACGTCAACTGCTAATTATAGTTTATATTATATGTTTATATGTGCTTTACCTTTTATTTTATACCAATATATTTTGAAAAATCGTATTGAGTCTGATTTCTACACCCTGTGTTAGCTATAATGAATAGTCCTGATGATAATTAAGTGAATAGCAATTTGTTATTGATGGGCGTTTTGACTGCTGGTTGCAGGTAGTTCTAACGTTCCATGCTTCCTGACTTCACATTCTGCGATTTTTTTTGGGGTGATCACACGGTCTAGATGACCTTGAATTTGTGAGATTCGATTCGAACTCATGGGTTGGTTTCAGAATTTTTCTCCAGTCTGTATGATAAAGGTTTCTGGACTCACCCTGTTTTCATTTGACTCGACGACCATTTTCGGTATTTTTGACCTCAACTTTTCTTATGGGGATAAACATGGGAAAAGTGGTCGAAATGAGGCCGTGCTCTCCTAGCCTATTTACTCTCGTGCAGAACTGTTTGATCTCCAACATGGTGATGTAATAATAATGTTGCACCATGCAGACAAAACTGCTGTGAAAAGTCATTTATGAACTGAACAATATTGACACTATACTGGTTGAAAAATCAATAATTTTTCATTGCTTCCTTCATTCTGGTGAAAGCAATAATGTCTTTTTCGATGATATTTATGACCTTACGACATTTCTTCATTTTCTGCTCATACTTTCGCATTTTTCTTTCGAGTTCCGTTTTCTTCTCAATTTTATTTTCCAAAAATGAGTTGTTTTTGTCCATGAACTCTTTTCGCTCTCTTGCAAACTCGTTCGTAGACTTCGCTTCATTTAGTGCGATATCTTCGTAATTTGTAGTATTGAAATCATCCACGACATCTTCTCGGGAAACTGAATTTTCATCTTCTTCACTGGCTCCATAGTCTTCAATTTCCTTCACTTCGTCGGACGAAACATTTCCTGATATGTCCTCGAACTGTGACTGCCTGAGAATTTTTCCGTGCATTGGGCTTGGTCTTGGAGTAGATGTAGCAAATGGCTTGAATGCCTCCTCACGATTATTGACTATTGTGGTAGAAATATATTGAACACTATCATCCATGTCAGATGGTTCACTAACTATACGAAAATTATCAGACTTTCCGTCACGTTTCAAATGTTGCAAAATTTCCATCGATTTTTTGGCAATTGGTATAGTCAAGACTTTAGTTTTCATGTTCATCTCTTTGGCACTGTCTATTGAATAAGAATAACTATGAGTAGTCGTGGAAGGAGGTATTTATACGTGTTTATCGCTAATTATCAATCAAGTACCCTTATAGCAAAACTGCATAACACTCTTGTAGTTAAATTCGTATGAATTCATATTGATAATCCTAAAACGAGATAATTTTCTTCAATAATTTTCTTAAGTACCTACTAACAAGATATATTAGTCTCAATTAGAATCAATTCGCATAATGCAAGATGTAATATAAAGAATTGACTCTTGATGAACCAAGTAATCAAAATCGTCTTGCTCTCATATACTTGACGCCACATATGCTGGCTGATAAGAAATTATCAAATTGGCTTGATGAACCATTTTATACAGCATCTGCATTCATTGTCGAATTCCATAATTTCCCTTTTAAGATGTTTCTCTATTTGACCAATTGAATACATTTTTTGATTACCCTGTATGCACATTCATTCTTATAATAGGTATATTGATATGTCTGATGATTATGCACCTGCTCTCAGTTTGACCGGTCATCAATTAACGTTAATTAATATCAATTGAAGCTGTAACAGGATTCCTTATATATATCCACTCTATCAGAAAGGAAGATGAAGAGAGGTGAAGATTCCCAAGAATATTCATTAATAATCAAAGGAACAGCCAATCGTGGTAACATCGGAACAGACGCATTGACTCAATACATTATTGATGGTATACAGGATGATTGTAATCATAAAATCATTCTTCACGGAGCGACAAATATAAATGAGTTCGAGAATGGAATAAGGGTTTACAGTGAAATGAAACAGACCGAATCCTCCACATAACTCGAATAGAGACAATTTCTCAAGAACCGAAGCAACAAGAAGGCCCCCAGTAAAATTTCTTAATTGTGGTTCTCTTGGTCACAAATCAGATGTTTGTGGAAGAAAAGTTTCGGGATCAAAATGTTTCAAGTGCAATCAATTTTTTCACAAAAGTTTCGAATGTAAAAATCAAAGAAATATTCAAGATTTTTCTGATAGACGAACAGTGAGGAATCAGTCGACACCATCAACTTCCTATAATGATGTTCTTGCTCCAGTTCACAATATTACTTCAGATTGTCTCAGTAAGATGCATAAAATTGTCTTTTTCAACAAAACGCCTGTTGATACCCTCATAGATACAGGTAGTCAAGTTGATATCATGATTCATAGTATTTATAAAATGATGACACATTCTGGTTAACAAAATACAAATATATGTCTCAAGGGCCTAGGAAAATTTAATATTCAGTCTTTGGGCTGTTTCGAATGCAACATTTCAATAAATGATGAAGAGTATATATCTACCTCGATATCTACTGTATATGTTATTCCAGACAAAGTCATATCCGTCAGAGCAATCTTAGGTAATGACTCATTGAATGAAACAGAACTTTTTATCAATCAAGATGGAATAAGCATCAGGCGAATGAATGAAGTAGCAAAGTTATTAAATATTATTATAATTGATTCAGAAGATTCAGATGCTCGTGTTTTCAGCACTTTTGATTCAAAGAATGGTTTCTTTCATGTCAAAGTAGCGAAGGAAAGTCGGAAGTATACTTCCTTCGTTACACATAATGGTCAATTTCAATTTTTGAGAGTACCATTTGGACTTTGTAACTCACCTGCTGTGTTCATGAGATTCATAAATTTCATCTTCAAAGATCTCACTAAGAAAGGTATCGTTTTGCCTTATATGGATGATCTCATTATACCAGCAATTAATGAAATACAAGCAATAGAAAAATTGAAGATTGTACTTGACACTGCCAAAGAATATGGATTGGGAATAAATAAGAAGAAATGTAATTTTCTGAAGAAAAACGTGGAATTCTTAGGACATGAAATTGAGGAAGGAAAGCTGTTTCCATCACAATTGAAGACTGAAGCTGTCATGAAATTTCCAGAGCCTACAACTATGAAACAGATACAAATTTTATTATGGACTGACAGGATATTTTAGAAAATTCATCCCCTACTATTCAATCATCGCCAGGCCATTGAGTGATGCTGAAAAAAGACAAAATATACAAATTTGAAGAGTCAGAGAAATATGCATTCAATAAATTGAAGACGATTCTATCACAAAAACCTGTATTAGGTATTTACCTTCAGAATGTAAAATCATCCCATAATACCATGACTGGGATTTGCTTTTATCAGGATTTTCTTCTGTTTGATATGATCTTACTCTTAATGTGAATTAATACATTTGTGAGTATTTCGTGCCCTTTTTGTTGTAGGTAGAAAAATACTTGCACTGGTTATATTTTCATTATACATCAACAGAATCGAGAACGAATTTTTTCACATCAGAATAATGACCTTCTGTAATGATTTATTGGTTTTGTGCCAATTGTCATAGTAACAATATTATTATTTATTGCTTATT